CGCTTTGAACCCATCTCGGATCCGCTGCTGCTGGGCGCTGGGAGGGGCTGGTGCTAATGCAAGCAGCCATGAAAACGGCACACTTTCCCTTGCTGCGGTTCGGCAAAAGCCCTGAGAAAGGCTCGTTAGCATTTTTTCAATCATCCATGTATTGAAATCTTTTTGTGGAGTTTAATTCCTTTAGCACCTGACTCAGCCTCCCTGCCCTGAAGTTACCTTTGTGCCTTAAACTCAATTAACCCGAATTTCCGCTCCCAAAGACACATGTGAGGGGACTGGCGTGTGGCCTGTCACTGCACACGCAGCACGGTCCCGCACCCACAGCCATGTGTGTGGACTAAATGTGATCACGCAACAGGAAAAACCCGACGTGGTGGCCCTGCAGACGGGCTCCCCCAGGTCAGTGCCAAGGAAGGATGAAGGGACGGCATTCCTGTCCGCTTTTACCTCAGGTTACCCGATGCGGGGCCAACACTGGATTCCACCACCGTGTCACATCCAAGAGGATCGTACTCCCGGGTCCTCAAGCGGTGTCGGTCCCTGTGGGCCTACAGGCAAACAGAAAGAACCGGTAGAGTCCCTGCACACAGCACGCCTTTCCCAGGCTGCCCTGCGGGGCCTGTGTTGTATTCTTTTTCTGCCTTTTGGGAGCAGAGCACTCTTTCGAGTTGATCTGACTGTGCAGGACCAGGCCCAGTGCCTGTGGGGACTGTGGGGACCACTCCTCCACGTCCCGCCACCACGTGCTCAGGCCTCTGTCATGGCTCCCAGCTTCCTGGGGGACTTTCCCAGGATGCTGGTGACTCTGCTTTGCTGCTGAGGAATTTACTGCCTGCCCTTGGCAGCAAATGAAAGTGGGTGTTAATTTCTCAGAGTGCTGCCAGCCCCGAGAACGAAACCCGCAGTCTGGTGTCCCGCGCAGCAGGCACGGGTCACAAGGGGAGAGAAGCCAGCAGCCAGGCAGGACATGCCCCCCCACCGCCTGCCCCCACCTCCTGGTGCATCCTCGAAGGGCCTGCAGCCTGGAGGGAGCTAAGTTATGCAGCTGCGGTACCAGGCCCTCCAGCCCGGCTTCCTTCGGGTTCCCACAATGCTATTGAAGTGCTTATTTTCCTCCTGAAGAGACACAAACAGATGCAAACTTCTGTAAACACTTTAGAAATGAATTCAGCGAGTTTGGCCTCTCAGCAGTGCTCAATGGCTGACAGAAAAATGTCTAATTAGTGCAAGTGGAAATAATAGGGCCACTTGGACCCCTTCCATCTCCTCCAAGTCTACTTTCCAAGGAGCTCAAAGGGCCTTTGTCTGGCAGGTCACCCTCTCTCAGGCTTTTGTGTGCCGATCCATTACGAACAGGAGGGGGAATAGATGAGGCCACGCTAGAGACTCGGCGTGTTCACGAGGGGCAGAGTGGGCTTTGCAGCCTGTTCACAGGTGCGGGCGGGCGGGTCCCCTATGGCCCAGAGCCACCCGCACGTGCACAGGACAGGGAGCCTCCATCCGTGTCACCTCAGTAACCACACGCCTCAGAGGGGGTGAAGAGAAGAAAGATATTCTTTAAAATGAGAGGTTTAGCTATTTTCTGCCTTAGGGGTGTTTGGTGTGTGACTATTATTTACTTTTTACTCTGTTGAAAATCCCACTGACTGTAACTTAGGAGACCGTTTTTGTGCGTCGCGGTTTTGTCATACACAACCGTGGGAATGCGTGGATCGACTTTCTCCCCTAATTCTTCCCTGGTTTTCCCTGTCATTTATTCAGCGCCCACGGTGTGCCAGGCGCCGTGCTGAGCATCCAACCCACATCTCCTCCAGGCCTGACAGAGCACAGCACAGCACATCGAAACCGGGGCTCTGTGCCCTGTTGGGGGGGTCACAAAATGGTGCCGCTTCTATGGAAAACAGTATAGCACTCCCTCTGCTACACAATCCAGCAACCCCACCCCGGGACATTTGTCCAAAAGAATTGAAAGTAGGATCTCGAAGAGATATTTGCCGCATTCATCACAATAACCAGGAGCTTCGAGCGGCCCAAATGTCTGTCAGTGGATGAATGGATCCACAAAACGTGGCCCTCACATACAGTGGAGTAATATTCAGCCTCATAAGGAAGGAAATCCTATCCCTGCTACAACACGGATGAACCTGGAGGGCATTATGCTCAGTGAAATAAGCCAGCCACCAAAAAGGCAAATAATTTACAATTTCCTTTATATGAGGTGCCCAGAGTAGTCAAATTCATAAAAACAGAAAGTAAAATGGTGGTTTCCAGGGGCTGGAGAAGGAAAAGGGGGATCTTTAATGGGTTTAGAGTTCATATTTGCTGGATAAAGCAGTTCTGGAGGTCTGATTCAAATAAGATGAATATACTTAACACTACTGAAATGTACGCGTAAAAATGGTGAATATGGTACATTTTATGTTCTGTGTTATGGCCACAATTTAAAAAAGAAGGCAAAAGGTAGAGAACTGAGTTCCTTCCTTACCCTAACCCTTTCAACTTTGTAACTTCAGAAAGTCACATAACCTCTCAGCCTCAGGTTCCCTATCTTACTTGGATTTTTCAGTTACAATGAAATTAAATGAGATAATAGAGAACCTGGCAGTGGTAGAAGCCACCAGTTCTGCAGAAAGTGGCCGAGGCTGCAGACCAGAGATGGGGTTTCTATGCACCCAGCACAGAGAGACCTCCCCCAGAGACCGACTTTGGGAAACAAAGCAGGCAGACATAAAACACCCATTTCTTTTCCATCTTTGAATTTACATTCTATGAATGTGAAATGAATGAATTGTTCTTCTTTAAAACTCATGTTCTTCAGCCCCGGCCCTTGTGGCTCAGTCAGCTGGGCTTCACTCTGCAAACTGAAGGGTTGCCAGTTTGATTTGTGGTCAGGGCACGTGCATAGTTGTGGGTTTGGTCCCCAGTCAGGGCACGTGCAAGAGGCAACCACACATCAATGTTTTTGCCCTCTCTTTCTCCCTTCCTTTCCCCCTCTCTAAAATCAATAAGCATGTCTTTGGGTGAGAACAAATTAAAAAAAAACTTGTGTTCTTCAGATTGGTGAGTTATTTGACACACCCCAATAGAAGTTTTGAGCATTTCAATTTTGTGTTTTTTTTAGTGGGAAGGTACAGAGGCTCACTCAAGGAAACTCATAAAATGGGACATCTTTTACTATGAAGCTATATTACTACAAAGACACATGTGGGACCGAAAAGAGGCTTGTTGCCCAGGGAAGTGCACTAGTGGTATGGTGGGTTGGCGTTCAGTCATCATTCTTGGGTCTTCACTCTGGTGATACCCATAGAAGGGTCCCAACTAAACCCTACTTCCTGTTTCTTTCCATCCTGTCTCTGGGAAATTCTTTCTGTGTTTCTTAGTTCAGATTAATAAGTTCATTTTTTGAAGCCAGTTCAGAAAGCCATGGAGCCAGGTACAGGTGGTTGTTCTTAGCTTAGCTTTGAGCTGGTGGTGGGGTGGGGAGGTGGGGTGAAGGTCAAGTAGCAAAATACGTGACTATATCAGAGGCAGGGCCTTGGGCACAGCAGTTTGCCTCAGGAGGTTGTGGTCTATCAGGCCTGGGAATGATGGGTCCTTGGGTGGGTCTAGTAAATACCACCTCCCTTCACCTCCTGGATCCTGGAGGCAGAAAGAGGGGTTTTTTAACAAAAGACTTAGGCAGACACAAGATTAAATATTACTTCTAGTTCTGGTAAAGGCTAAATTGGAAGATATAACTCTGCATTAGAGCACAGGGGGTCTGCTCACGTGAACCCCAGAATTACGTGGACTTTCCCAGTCAGGCACAGGAATTACTAGGCCAAGCAGGACAGCTCACACAGGGTGGCTTTCCAGTAAGACAGGATGCACAAGAGCAGAGAGGAATCCATTTCCTTCAGTCTGCTTATTCCCAAGAAAAAGAACAGCCCAGGTCCCACTCCCAAACGTGTCAATTGGGTTAGGCAGCCACTTTCCCAGGGTCACAGAGCAGAGACAGGAAATGAGTCGGGAAACAAAGGGGCACTTGTCATGTTTACCTTGTGTCATATGAAAATACAAGGTCTGTTGAGAAGGTGTGCAGCCATGTAATATGAAAAATAGAGACATTTATTGAAGAAGATACAAGAAACATTGCACACAGGACAATGACGACTCAGTCCCCTTCAAAGTAAGCAACTTGGGACCTCACACAGTTCTCCCAGTTGCCATCAGCTACCCCATCATATTTTCCTGAATGTCATCAATGGTCTGAAATCTCTTCCTTTCAAAGGTGAATTTAGTTTGGGGAAAATCCAGAAGTCACAGGGCACCAAATCTGGGCTATAGGTGGATGAATCACCTCAGTGATTTGATGTTTCACCAAAAAACTCTGCAGGAGACATGATGCACAAGCAGGCATATTGTTGTGATGAAGCTGCCAATCACCAATTGCCCATAGCTGCGGCCTTCTGAGTCATTCCAATAGTTCCCGTGGATGAATGTTTGAGCTTAACTCAAAACCTGATGTGGATTTGTTGCTCTACTCACTCAGTCATTTTGAATGTGAAGACCACACAGTACACACACCCACTCAGTGGTGTCTACCACCCCCACTGACTGGTACAGTGAAGTCGTCATTGTTCACACATGTGCGTTCCAGTCCACTCTCCCCGGCTGCCAGGTCACATCCATGTCGCGCAAACTGTTCTCATTATATTAACAACGGCTGGACTTTTTCTGGACAGACCTTGAGTGTGCACTTATCACCTGTACGATCTTAGGAATGGAGGAGGAAATAGAAGGAAAGGACTATTGCTTATCCCACGCTGAACTGGACTTGTCCTTACTTTCTTCCTCAGACTCAGTCACTAATACAGTTTCCTCTCCTGCTCTAGGCTTCGCTGCTGTCCCTGTCAGGTAGACAACACCCGGCAGACTAGGCTTGGTCCCAGGACCGCTGTCTTCTCTGCTGACTGGGCGCCTTGTCTCGCCTGCTCATTGTGTCCCTTCACGACCTCCAGGTGTCCTTGAAGGCCTCCATCCTCGCCCGGGACTACGCCACTGCGGCGGCCATCCTGTTCGTGAGCGACCGGCTCCTGTACGGGCTCGACGCGTCCCGCCAAGTCCTGCAGGTGGCCAAGGGGCTGCACAAGCTGTGGCCCGCCGCGCCAATGGCCCCGCAGCTGGTCATCCGCCAGGCCCGAGTGTCGGTCAACGCAGGTAGGCGCACCCTGCCCCTCCTGCCCGGGGCGCCCCCGCCCGCGGCTCCCGGCCCTGCCAACCGCCGCCCGCCGGGGCCTTCATCCCCAGCACAAAGGGCTGGCATAAAGGGCCTCAGAGCCGGGGCCGCGGAGAACACGGTGAAAGGGTGTGAAAAGTACTAATTGGAGCCTTTGTCTTCTGACAAATCCGTCCCGCTGCTTTCAAACAGGGACTCTGAATGCTGTGCTTCTGCCCAAGAGCCTTTAAAAAGCAGATTAGAGTTCCGCTTTCTCTTGGCTGTCCCGTCTCCTTTTGGCGGGCTCTTGACAGACACTGAGGTAATCCGCCGGCTTCCGTCACTCGCGGCGCCCGCGCTGCACCTGATCTGGCTGGAAACACGCTCCTTCCTCCCGTCACCGCGAGCGCGCGCGGCGGCAGACGGGGCTGCGAGGCTGCGCGCGAACCCCGGGCGCCCGGTGGGGGGCGGGGCGGGGCGAGGAGGGGGCGGGGCCTGCGGCGGCCCACGGAGTCCCCATCCGCAGACTCCGCCCTCCTGAGCCTTGAGGCGGCGGACGCGCGGCCCCCCGGTCTCCTTTCCCAGAGCGAGAGGAGGAAGGCCCTCGTCGGAAGCCTCCGCTCGCAGGAGCAGGACTGGCTCGTTTTCACGAACGGTGTCCGCCGTTGCTGCGGAGCCGATGACTCGGGTCTGTGGGAGGTTAAACGTCGTTCCTTCGTTTCCTCCGACGAGGGATTGGGCCGACTGCGCTCACGGGGCGACTGCGGACTCCAGAGAGAACCGAGGTGTCCGGACGGGGCGGAAATGGGCTTTTCAGACCCGAGCCCATTTCAGACCCGAGCCCATTTGCTCTCTTTTTAATTTTTTTCATTTGTTTTTTGCATTTTTTCCATCACAATCTGTCCCCCATACCTTCTCCCACCTTCGCCCCTCCCCCCTGCAGTCGCCGCACTGTTGTCCGTGTCCGTGGTTCCCCTTTTTTCTCGTTGGGTGTCCCCCCCTCGCCCCCATAGTGGTCAGCCTGCTCCGGATCTGGAGTCTGTCTCTCCGCCGCTCATCGGTGCGGGTGCTCGTTAGCTTCCACATGTGAGTAGGCCTCCGGGTCCTGCCGCACCGTAGCCCACGGAGCCCAGGCGCTTTCCTGTCCTTGCAGCTGGTCCTGAAGTGTGCCCACACCCTACCGCAGGGGTGGAGTTGACCTCAGGAGAAATTCCTTCCTCTAAATGGCCCTGGTCTGGGACATTTTATACTGTTTGGGCCTGAGGGAACGCTGACCACTAACATTCCTTCTGATGGCAGCTGGTGGCAATGACAGAGCCAACGTGGCACCTTTGCTGTGCGTGGTGTGGCTGTGGTGTGACGGGGAAACTGGGGGGCCGGGGCGAGCAGACCCTGCACCACGTGGCCAGACTGAAATGGTGCAAAGACCTGGAGCACGAACTGGCCTGCAGGTCCCAGGGACAGCAAGGAGGCCGCTGTGACCAAGGCGGGTGGACTGAGGGTCCCTGGTGATGAGGCCTGAGAAGTCCCAGGGGACAAGCCACAAGGGGCCTGCAGGCACCAGGGAGGAGGGCTGGATTAGACAACAAACAACTACATTTCCTGCTCACAGAGAGACAGCTGTGCGTGGGTTAAGCCCCTCTTAGTGGTGGGAGAGCCCTGCCTGTGGGCCACGCTCCTGTGCTGAGACGTTTGCTTTCCCTCTCAAGCCACAGTCTCTGCACGTGACTGGCCCCTTCCTATGGATGCTTTGGATTGCCACTTCAGACTTCCCACCTACCACTTCCTGGGACTTCGTCTGTCTTCTCCCTTTTGTAGACTATGAAGTTACAGGTTTTAGATTTCGGAACAGAACGTTTCCAAGAGCGGCCCTGCTCTAGTGTGGCATTGATCTTAAGAGCGTGCCCCATGGGTGGTGTGTAAAGCTGTGCTCAGAGCTGACTGCGTGGTATTTGGCTGCTTCTTTTCAGGAAAACTTCTAAAAGCAGAGTATATCCTCAGCAGTCTGATCAGCAATGATGGAGCAACAGGTAAAGTGTGTTCACACCCTCAGAGCGATCTTCACCCTAGGGGTCTCTAGGGGTCTAGGGTAGGGATCCCATATCACTGAGTGTTAGCCGTTCCCACTCCACCTGCCACCAATAAAGGAAGGGCTTTGTCCAAGTTGCACCCTTCCCTAGCCGCCAGTCTCTCTAATTAAAAACAAACAAAATGCAATGACCAAGGCCTCTTGTGTATCTCCCAGCCTCATTGTAGAGAGGGTTCCCTAATGGACAATAACCACTGAAGCAGGTAACTCCATGGGCCTTGGAAAAATTTGAGGGGACAGAGCATTTGAATGGCTGGGAAAATAAACTTTGCTACCTAAGAACTCTAATAAAAACATTTCAATATTCAATCACACATGGATGGAAGCAAGTGGTAATGGTTGGGTGACAAATCACTTAAGCCTCCCAATATCTTTTCTGAATTTCTGGTCAAGAAATTTCCCAATAAGCTGAATACAATTTCCAGTAGCGTTTAAGTTCAATGTGCTTCGGTATAAGGTCCCCAGCACCTTAAAACCTGCAGACATTTCCGGTGCCTTAAAGCCTGGAAGCAGGTTGGAATACAAATACTGACCACATGCCCCTCATTGTGGCCACCATCACTAACATGCAGTGTGCAAACTTCTCACCTTCTACACCTCGCACACACACAGAGGCACATGTGTGTAAATACATGCACAGGCATGCACGCACTGGAACAAAAAGCTAGAGCAAAAACACAGAGGGTGCCGTGACAGAGAATAACAAGGAGGGAGAGCCAGCGGGGCTGCACCCTGGTGGTCCTGTCCTGCCTGCCCTCCCCATCTTGCCCAAGTCTGTACTGGCTGACATTCACTCACCAGTGAATCTTAGCCCCGCCCTTGTCACAATAAACACCAAGCCACTCACCACTTTCCTAGCCCAAGTCAAGTGGAGCAGCGTGGTGCCTGCCCTGCTCTCTTCAAAAAGGCTCACAATGTGGGTGCTGGACCTGTTCCTACTCTCCTGTGTGTGGTCTGGGTAGATGGGATGAACAGCCCACACACTCAAGGATGCTGGGGCCACGCTGACCGGGATAGCCCGGGAGGCCACATCGCAGACTGAGACCCGAGCAAGCAGGAGTGGTCTGCTCTGGAGCCAAGGGGAAGTGGTCCCAGCAAAGAACATGGCCTCTGTGAAAAGAGACACGAAGGGGCCAGAGTGACAGAGGGAGGAGTTAGTCCCTGGACCTTAATGAGGAGGAGCTGGAACCTCGTGCTATGTTCGAGAGGAGGCTGCTGCTCGAATGTCCACCATGTGTGCTCACAAAGACTTCTGTGAAATGGTTTTATTTCACCACAATATTCCTGCATAAATTCAAGACCAACAATGCATTTCTCTTTCCTTCATTTATCACAGGCAGCTGGCGATACAGAAACAAAAGTGACCGGGTCCTGGTGCAGTCCGTCTGCATGCAGATCCGAGGGCAGATCCTGCAGAAGCTAGGTGTGCCCCGCTTGCCCGCCCGCACCTGCAACGTCCAGCCGCCTCCCTCTGTGTCCTCATGTGAGAGAGGAGGACATTTAGGGCCCTAGGAGTGTGATGAATGCTCATGAAACAGACATTTTCTGTTGAGTTCTGAAACTTACAGTTGTTCCTTGTGAACATTAACATGGGGTTCTCACATTTCTGGTGTCTGACCCTTGGTCCCCTGACGTAGTGACACCATCCCCATTCAATTCTCGAAGGTACTTATGAGTTTTCAAGCAGAGTTTACAGAACTGCAATTACACTTTAAAATGCAGGCACTAAAGTGTTTGAAAACTTAACAGAGGCAGGTAATTGTTATTCTCATAAATACTGGAGGTGACTTTTTTTACACTGACATGCATGACATGTGTGATGCTCAGTGATTCTTACTCTCTCCCTGTCACCCACGTTAAACACACCGGAAAGCAGATTATTGTCTGCCGTCAACTGGACCCAGCCTGGAATTTTCTGGCAGGCACTAATGAATCTCCTTTCTGTAGTTTTCGAGGCATTTTCTGTCATGAGAGCAGACTCTAGCAGTTACCCCCATGCCCCCCTTTTTCCAGGGATGTGGTCCGAAGCAGCAGAGTTAACGTGGGCCTCGATCGCAGGGTACCTGACGCTTCCTCAGCCGGATAAGAAGGTTGGTTGTGAACCTTTCTCTTCTCTTCTGCACACGTTTGTCCTGGGTGGTTATCTCCTGTGGCACAATTCACCTCACTGCCTACAGGTTGCGTTGGTCCTGTTCTGCTGGCTCCACGTGGGCACAGGACTGGGCCTGGGCCACCTGCTCCTGTGCTGCTCTGTTCTCACTCACCCTGGACTCTGGCCTATAGTTAGTATTTCTTTCTTTCTTAAAAAATATATTTTATTAATTATGCTAGTGCAGTTGTCCCATTCCCCCCTTTATTCCCCTCTGCCCTGCACACCCCCTCTCACCTGCATTCTCCCCCTTTAGTTCATGTCCATGGGTCATACATGTAAGTTCTTTGGCTTCTACATTTCCCATACCATTCTTAACCTCCCCCTGTCTATTTTCTACCTACCATTTATGCTACTTAATCTCCGTACCTTTTCTTCCCTCTCCCCTGCCACCCCCCCTTCCCCGCGCTGATATCCTTCCATGTGGTCTCCATTCCTGTGATTCTGTTCCTGTTCTAGTTGCTTGCTTAGTTTGTTTTTGGTTTTGTTTAGACTCAGTTGTTAATAACTGTGAGTTTGTTGTCATTTTACTGTTCATATTTTTTATCTTCTTTTTCTTAGATAAGTCCCTTTAACATTTCATATAATAAGGGCTTGGTGATGATGAATTCCTTTAACTTGACCTTATCTGGGAAGCACTTGATCTGCTCTTGCATTCTAAATGATAGCTTTGCTGGATAGAGTCATCTTGGATGTAGAGTAATATTGCCTTTCATGACTTTGAATACTTCTTTTAAGCCCTTCTTGCCTATAAGATTTCTTTTGAGAAATCAGCTGGCAGTCTTATGGGCACTCCTTAGTAGGTAACTCTCCTTTTCTCTTGCTGCTTTTAAGATTCTCTCCTTATCCTTAATCTTGACTAATGTAATTATGATGTGCTGTGGTGTGTGGTTCCTTGGGTCCAACTCCTTTGGGACTCTCTGAGTGTCCTGGACTTCCTGAAAGTCTATTTCCTTTGCCAGATTGTGGAAGTTCTCCTTCATTATTTGTTCAAACAAGTTTTCAACTTCTTGCTCTTCCTCTTCTCCTTCTGACACCCCTATGATTCAGATGTTGGAATGTTTAAAGATGTCCTGGAGGTTCCTAAGCCTCTCCTCATTTTTTTGAATTCTCATTTCTTCATTCTGTTCCAGATGAATGATTCTTTCTTCCTTCTGGTCCATGCTGTTCATTTGAGTCCCGGTTTCCTTTCTGTCACTGTTGGATCCTTGTACATTTTGCTTTATTTCACTTACCATAGCCTTCATTTTTTCTTCTAATTTGCAACCATATTCAACCAGTTCTGTGAGCATCCTGATTACCAGTGTTTTGAACTGTGCATCTGATAGGTTGGCTATCTCTTCATCGCTTAGTTGTATTTTTTCTGGAGCTTTGATCTGTTCTTTCATTTGGGCCATTTTTTTTTTGTCTCAGCACACCTGTTACATAGTAAAGAGTGGAGCCTTAGGTGTTCACCAGGGCAGCGCAACCCACGTTGCTGCATTGTGACACTGTCTGTGGGGGAGGGGTCTGAGAGGGAACAGTGCCACTTGCTCTGCTCTCTGTCGACTTTCAGTCACTTCACCCACTACCCACAATCAAATTGTGCCTTTCTGGTGCTGACTCCTGGGTGCGTGGGTTTGTGTATGTTCTAAGACCATGTGGGTCTCTCCAACAAACACTCCTGTGAAGCTGGGAGTTTCTCTTGCTGTCGCCTCAACCCCCACAGGTGTTTTCAGGCAGAGGCTTTGAGGCTTTATTTCTCTGCACTGGAGCCCTGGGTTGTAAGGTCTGTCTCGCTCCCCTGTTGTTCCTCCCGGTTTATCTGCATGTGAATGTGGAACCACTTGGTCCACCAGCTGCTGTCTCGCAGGGTCCGCCAGCCATGCCATGTCAGCCCCAGTCGTCCAGCCACCACCTTGCCGCAAGTCCTCTCTGCTCAGCTGCCCAGCTGCACCCCTCCTACCAGTCTGGATGACTGTTTCTTCTTTAACTCTTTCGTTGTTGGACTTCCATACAGTTCAATTTTCTGTCACTTCTGGTTGTTTTTTGTTTTTAAACTTGTTGTTGCCCTCCTTTTGGTTGTGCGAGGAGGCACAGTGTGTCTACCTATGCCTCCACCTTGGCCAGAAGTCCTAGTGTTTCTATTTTGATTCGTAACTATCCACTTACATAGTTATTTCTACTGAGCCAGTTGTTTGCCTGCTTCGTCATGCATTTACCTTTGCATGGCTCCATAGCCCAGCTGACTGCACCCAGGTGCTTCTACATAAAATCTTTTTTTTGAATGAAGTGGGCAAAGACGTCACTTAATCATTTACGTCACATCTTCGTTCAAGAAGTGAAGAAGCAGGATCTGCTTTCCTGCCAGTGTATTCCGTGTCAGTCCGGGCACGTTCTCCCATTCACAGCGGCATCGGGCTGCCACGTCCTCCAAGCTGCCGACAGCCCACCACGTGGAGAGAGCTGGCCGAGCGAGCCCGACTGGAAGGAACTGCATTCTCATGGTGTCCGTGGCCTCAGGGTGGGACAGTGTCCTGTGTCACAAGAGTAGCAGTCACACGAAGTGCCGGTCCATAGGGAGGGCTGATTGCCTTCAGGCCGGAGTACAAGCAGTGACTCACCGTGAATTCCCGTCTGTCTGTCTGTCTGCCTGTCTGCCTGCCTTTCCCTACAGGGCATCTCCACGTCGTTAGGGATTCTGGCAGACCTCTTTGTGTCTATGAGCAAGCAAGAGTATGAGAAGTTTAAAAACAGCCCACGGATGAACTTGGTAACTATCGCTCGCCAAACCGCAGTGCAGATCGTCAGCCTCCCCCTCCGTGCTGGAGTCAGGGAGCACGGTGTCTCCCCTCGTGGGTGACATCCACAATGCTCAGGACAGTTCCAGCGTGTCCTATGGGCTGTGCTGCCCCCGCATCTGGCCCACCCCAGACGTGCGGAGGTCACTCAGTGATGGGGAAGGAGCTTCCAAATGAGCACAGAATTCAATTTCCACACCTGAGCCACCTCGATGACAAAGGAAAGGGTTTTTTTAAGTTTTTAAACATTTTTGAAATTTCATCATCAGCTACTCAAATCAGAGCATCAGGCACTTGTTGAGGGCCCTAGCCCTACTAATAATGATTCCTACTGTTGATACATTGCTTTACAATCCAGAAAGCATGTCTGTGTATATGATCCACATGAAGTCCTTTGGGCAACAGGTGTCACCCCCATTTCAGAGAGAGATAAGTGGAGGTCCAGAGATACTGGGTCAGGTGTGCAGTGTGCAGCCTGTAAGGAAGCCGCCCAGAGCAGAGCCAGGGCCCCTGTCCACCAGGGTCTCTCTCGGCAGGAGGACACTGGCCTGCTCTCCAGCATTGTGCAGAAGCTGAGGTTTTCACATGATCTCCAAGGTGGCCATTTTTGTGAAGTGTCAAGTGACAGTGGTGGTCACACTCAGTGCCAGCAGCATGAGGACACACCCATGCAGCTTGCTGGCAGTGACTGGAACCTTAGCTGCTGCTTTTGCTACCAGACAAACACAGGGGAAAGACTCCATCCTTCATTCACTGAAGCTGTCCGCCAGACCTCCCCGGTCCCACCCATGTGCATCACCCTCACATAGGGTGTTGGGTCCCCTCCCCTCAGCGGAAATCGAGCTCTGGCAGGCTCACCACCTGCACGTCCTTGTATCTAGAAGAGTGCCTGACACCAAGGTGCTCGTGCACGTTTCTAAACTGAATGGAGGGACCTAATTGCTGTGAAACTGTAGATCAAAGGGCTCTCTGCTGAAAACAATTCAAAGACCAGCTGTTAATTGGCTGCAGAATGTACGGGGTTCCCCCAGTGTGGACGGTGCGGATGATGCTGCCAGGGTGCCAGGCTGGCCCTCTCTGGGGTGGGGATGGTGCAGGGGAGGGACAGTCACTCTTCTGTGGCCCAGTTTTCAAGCAATTGAGATGGGTTGGGTGAGGCAGGGCACCCCTGAGACTTGGCTTCATAGCCTGCCTGTTGCTGTGGCCCCCGCTCTCTCCTAGGGCTTGCTGAGGGACGTGGACCACCGCCTGCTGCTGGCCGCTGAAGCCTGCAAGCTAGCGGCTGCCCTCAGTCCCTACACGCCGCTCTTCGTGCTCACGGCCATGGTAAGCAGTGCATGGGAGGGCGTCATGGTCAGATCACAGGGTCAGAGGTCCTGTGCGGAGGTTTCCTGGGCAGAGTGGGGACATCCTGGTGGGACCTCGCTAATTCCCCCAGAGGAGTGGAGACTGTCTGCTCCAGGGCATTGTCCCCAGCACTTCGCAGTCACCAAGGGGCCTTTTCAGAATGCACGGCCCTGGGCTCCCCCCTTGATCCTGTGAATGCAGCGTTCTGGGGTTGGTCCCCAGAGACCATTAGTGTTGAAACACTGCCCAGGTGACTCAAACACACAGGAGGCTTCGGGGCCACCAGTCCATTGTTCTATTACCGAACAAACGATGTGTTTCTCTGCGGCAGCCCTATTTGCATAGAGAAACTTACCACGTCGCACTCATAGACTCCTGTCACTTCATCGCTGACGCAAAACACCGGAGGCTTCAGGAGAGCGTAGTTGCTCCCAGCCCCTCCCACCTGCCAGGCCCTCCTCCTCTGTCACCAAAAACACCTGCATTCACTGTTTGAATGTGTGTTTTTCCTAGCATACCCATGGCACACACTTGTCGTCCTACACTACCGTGTTTGTTTCTTCATGGTATTCTAATGACTGTTCTCCAGGAATTCCACGGTTTTCCTGTTTCACCTCCAGTGCTCAGGTCCACGTCTGATTTTGCATGTGTTGTTTTCCTCAGAACATCCGTGGCACGTGCTTGCTGTCCTACACTGGTTCTAACGACTGTCCTCCGGGCGCGAGAACTGCGCATCTGAGGGAAGCCAGAGAGGCCTTCGAGATCGGCCTCCTCACTCAGAGACGCGACGAGCCAGAAACGGGAAAGCAGGAGCTCCACAGTCTCCTCAGAGCGGCATTCGGCTTGGCCACGGTGCACTGCCGGCTCCACGGGGAGACTGGGCCAGGCCGGGCAGCCCAGCAGCTCTGCTGCGAGGCCATGGGGAAGCTGTACGCATTCAGTGCCACTGCTGGGAGTCAGGAGCGAGCCGTTCTCGCCCAGGAAGTCATATGTGTTGTTAGGCAGGTGAGGGACCATTTGCAGGTTTAGAGCTTTGCAACCTCAGAAGACGGGGCTTATGTCCCAGCGGGTTTCGAGTGTGGGCTACACAATCCCATCCTGCAGAGGCAAGTGGATTTCCAGAAAATCCTTGAAACCTACTCACAGCACCACACTTCCGTGTGTGAAGTATTTAAAAGCACTTGTGAAAACAACAAAAACAAACAGAAAGATTCCAACCCGGGAGTCTGCATCACGGCACTTAAAACAGACACAAAAAGCATAGAAACCATGATTATGGAAGACAGGCCGTGTCTCCAGGCAGGCAGGGGGATGTCCTGCTCTCAGGTGGCCCAGAACGGCTGGGAGGTACCCCGGAGGGCGGGAAGGAGAGGCTGGGCCTGTTCAGATGCCTTCCGAGTCCCCATGGACCCAGATGTGGGGACCGAGATGGAGTCACCAGGCCACCATAGCGGCAGGGGAGCTATTTTGAGTGACAGCCAGAGCTCTTGCTCCTGGAGCAAGTTATCAGGGTGCAGCGCTTCCACCAGCTGGGAAGAGGTGAGTGACCACGGAGACAAGAGCCCGACCAGAGGACAGCCTAGTGGAGAGCGCCTGGCGGACACTCAGGGTCCTGCAGCCGGCGTGGGAGTGCAGGGCAGTGACAAGGGAAGCACAGCTCTGTGTTCACTGGCTTCAGAGATTCGTGGCCTCTCTTTCCCAGAGTCCAAAGAAGATAGTTTAGAGTCCTGTCCACCTCATGTGCCCTTGGCCACTGGCCCCCCTCATGGTGCCAGGGCCACACTCGTGACCTCCGGCGCAGAGTGGCTGGAGGAGGGTCTGGAAGAAATGCAAGAAGTCAGACCTACAGGCTCCAGAGATGCTTCTGCTCATCCCAGACCCTTGTCTGGGTCTGCTTCTTGGTCTCCTGATCCTGGTTGGCCCAAGAACATGGCTGCCCCTCCTTCAGTCCAAGAAGAGACCTTTGAAATAATCGATGACTTTCCAGAAACCAGCTGTGATGCCAGAGACCGGTCTGGAGGAGACAAGGGAGAACTCACACACGGCACTGGCCTTGCATTGACAGGGAGCCCCGCCGAGGTGGACCCAGAAGGGGAAACAGCAGACAGCACAGAGGACATGCCCCTGGGCTCCCATGGAGGCACCGGCGAGTCTCTGGGCAGAAGTTCCACGGTGGCATGTCACTCTGTCACTCCTCTCTGGCCTCATCAGAACCCAGACAGGGGACAAAGCAAGGGCTCAGCCCCAGAGCCGGACGTCGACCCTGACGCGTCCACGGTGGATGAGCAGGGCCAGCTCCTCGACCTGATGGGGCCGCGTGACCATCCCGGGCTGTGTGCCCCGAGGCAGCCCTGTGCTCCAGGGGCTGGGCCGCCCCCTGGCCCCAGAAGCCATGAGGACTGCGCGACCACCGAGGAGGGGAATGCGCCTGAAGACGTGCTCAACTGCAGCCACAACTCCAGCTCGTCCTCGGCAAGCTGGTGGAGCTCTCCCGTGTTCTCCAGCGGGTCCTCGGAGGGGGACAGCCCCTGGTCCTACCTGAATTCCAGCGGGAGCTCTTTCGTTTCCTTGGCAGGGTCAATGAGGCAGGGGACCCTCGAGGCTCGCACCCTGCAGCCCGATGACATTGAAAGGTTGCTGGCAGGGGTGACACATGAGTGGCTGTTCCAGAGGCTGGAGCACACAGGGGTGTTCAAGCCCAGCCAGCTGCGCCGGGCATACGGTGAGTGTGGCAGCCTCGGGCAGGTGTAGCCGGGTGGCACCTCCATGCTGGGGGCCCTGGAGGAGCTGGTGTTCATCCCTTAAAGTGTAGGGGAGATGGAGGCCCTGTCGTGCTGGGAGGGTGCAGAGAAAGGTGCCCTGCAGGCCACCCTGGCTTGGCTGGGCAGCTCCAGAGACTCCAGGACTCGGGCCACCCGTGTTGGAGGTTTGCCAGAAGGACGTACGAGGCAGTCCGGAGATGGGAATCTCAGCAGGCTCGGGGACAGTCAGCTCTGGGGCAGCTCTGGGTGCCATTCCCTCGCAGCGCCCGTTCGTTTGTTCTCACTAATGAGCAGCACTTTCTCGGGGCACTTCACACAGCTCCCAGGAGACAGAGTCTGGCCTCGCGGAACACCAGCCTCCCAGTGGCAGAGAGTTTTACCCCTGTGCACTGAGGGTCTCGGCATTGACAGGGAGCCCCGCCGAGGTGGACCCAGAAGGGGAAACGGCAGACAGCACAGAGGACATGCCCCTGGGCTCCCACAGGGGCACGGGCGAGTCTCTGGGCAGAAGTTCCACGGTGGCACGTCACTCTGTCACTCCTCTCTGGCCTTGTCAGAACCCAGACAGGGGACAAAGCAGGGGCTCAGCCCAGCCAGTGAGGGGTCTGGTTGGGTGTCCTCCTGTCACAATCAGCACTGGCTTTCCACCTGAGAAGCAGCCCGAGGTCCCCTCCTGCAGTGGGCCTGGGATGTGGCTGCTCGCCAGGCGCATATCCAAGGCGGCTTAGGAGGGATAGAGGCTCCAGGAAGAAAACAAGACAAAGGTCTCCCCCTAGCCCAGAGGGTTCCATCATAATGCCTAAGATACTGAAGAAGTATTGACTTTTTTTTAAATACTGCCGAGTGCACTTCAGAAGAAGCCATGCAGCTGGCCAAGCACTGGGCTCTCAGGTGGTGGTTCTCAGTCGGGCACCACGTGGGCCACAGAGGCTCCTAAACCTCCAGGCCTTGTCTGAGAGGTGCCCGTCTGACACCGCGGGCTGTGGACCCAGGCATCGGTATTTTTTCCCAGTTTTATTGAGAAATAATTGACATACATCACTGTATAAGTTTGAGGTATGTGGCATGAAGGTTTGATAACAAGTGAAATGATTCCAATAGGCTCACTAACATCCATTTTCTCACATAAATACAATAAAAATGAAAGGGAAAAAAGGGGGGAAAGATTCTCCTTATGATGAAAACCCGCAGGATCTCCTCTCTGAACAACACTCCCAGGCCTCCGACCACAGCGCCAGCGGCAGTCGGCTCGCTGTTGGCTGCATTCTGTGGACGCAGCGTCTTACGCTGGAGTCTGACCTCCTTCCTCCAGAGCCCGCCCCACCTCCACCTCTGGTGACCTCAACTCCGATCTCTCTCTCTCTCTTTTTTTATTCCAAATGAAAGTGACATCATGCAGAACCCTAAGTTGTAGCACTTCTTCCTCGGGGTTCACGTCAGTCTTTCTCTCAAAGAGCTGCTTCTTGCTCACCCACTTCCTCCGTTCTTCAAGGCAGAGTATTTTATCCTGCCTTTCCCTTTCCCAGTTGAGTTTATATCTTGGTACAGTGGCTTTAATTTTTCAAGTAATTCCTGGACCTTCCCAACTTAGACAAAACGAGAGAGAGAAAAGGGTGTACTTTAATATGTAATCTAGGATCCCTGGAGTTGCTGGAAACCTCTGAGGTACAATTTGGACTTACTGCTGCCCATGACACCTGGCACCCCAGGTCACCAGGAGAAGGTTTGGGGCCTGTGCCAGGACTGTCTGGGGTCTTGTGTTTCCAAGGCCCTTCACACTCCTCACTTTGCATACAAAAACCCTGCCTTTTTCTTAGAGTTGCCATCACAAATGAGATTCTGTGGCTCAAAGGCTATTCTTCATTTTATCTAAAGCGTTCTTTACTTATTGTACTTTGATACCTTTTTATTAGTCATCACAGAGGAGGCTAACATTTGAGAAATGCACAAAGAAGTTGAAGATTTCAGATACACTGGATGAGGACCTGTGGTACTTCAACTTTGTCCATCGATTATGAAAATAATCGAAAATAAGATCCATTTTCCTCATCTTTTTTACAGATGCTCTTTTGTTGAAATATTCTAAGAAATCTGAATTGTGGACGGCCCAGGAAACTGTAGTATACCTGGGGGACTACCTGAACGTGAAGAAGAAAGGCAGACAGAGAAACGCTTTCTGGGTCCATCATCTTCACCAGGAAGAAACTCTGGGGAGGTATTGCTTGAAAACATCGATGCCACTCCCATAGGAAGGGCTAATTTTCCTCTCTGCTAACTACTGTTGCCCCCTTACCGCTCTTCTGCATTCTGCATCTTCAGTTACCCCCGGTCAACCGCAGTCTGAAAATTCCAGAAACAAACAACTCATACGTTTTAAATGTGTGCCATTTGGATGACACCACACACTGTCCCCTCCATCCCTCCTGGAACATGAATCATCCCTTTGTCCAGTGTATCCCCGCCCACTGGTCACTTAGCAGTGTCTCTGTTGTAGCTCAGCTGTTGAGGTATCGCAGTGCCTGAGTTCAAGTTGCCCCGAGTTTATGTCACAGTGCCGCATTCACATACCTTATTACAGCGCATTTACCATTAGTCACTGTTGCTACTCTCTTACTATGCCTGACTTAATGCCTGCAGTACCATTTGCAGTTTCAGGCATCCACCAGGGGTCTGGGGATGCACCCCCACAGGTAAGGAGGGACCCCTGTAATCACGAGATTTTGAAAAGGCTGAGAAAGCTGGCCAGAATGTATGTTTTCAGCTTCCTGCTCCTCCTCCATCCCCACTGACTTATTGGTAACAGTTTCCACCAACTGACCGACATTCTGTCAGCTGTCGTGCACAGACCGGCATGACTCAGACCCATGATGGAAACGTGGCCACCCTATGGGAAAGACAGGAAAGGTGGAGCGTCTGGGGCAGAGGGAGAATGTGCTAGCAGGAGCCTAGTTAAACTATAAAGCCACACTTTGTATATAAACAAGCCTGCAGAAAAGGCAAGAGAACCCTTTGAGGTCTGAGATGCATCATGTCCAGGTGGATACACGACTGGGAGCCCAGAGTCACCTGCACGCGGGTGGGCTGACGGGCCGCATGGCAGAGCTGCCCAGTGAGGGGACCCGGGTCAGAGATGGCGGCGCGGAGCAGGGAGCCGGAATGGCTGCATCCCCCAGGAAACAGCCACCGAGGTGGTTTTGTTTGTCCGTAGATATGTTGGGAAGGAGTACAAGGACCCGAAGAAGCTGTGGCTCCATTTCTCCGACGTGGAGCGACAGATGACCGCCCAGCACTACGTGACCGAATTTAACAAGAGACTTTATGAACAGCAGATCCCAACGCAGATATTCTACATCCCGTCTGCAATACTGCTGGTAAGGTTAAAGGGAGCAGGTTCTCGGGTGAACGGGCCCATAAACATAGGTTAGACTTTTCTCCCCAACCTACCATCCGTTTTCCTCCACCATCATTCCCATGAAAATCAGCTCAGGCACCAGCCTCCTCTACCTGCCTCATCCACGTAGACAGGTAAATGTGGCAGGACCGGCCATCCCCTGAGTGCGCCGGCCACACGTGGGTCCCGTGCCTGGCCCCACGAGGTCAGGGCAGCCCTCAGCAGACCTCCCTTCGTCTCCTCTACTTTCAGACACTGCGCCTGACAGCCTGTCCCTTCAACGTGGCTCACAGACCCCAGTTCGTACCTGTTGGCCCCCAGCCCTGTGCCACGGCTTCAACATTGTAGTGAGAAAACGTGATTATTAGGTTTTCACTTTCCAATAAACCTGTTGTAAAGGTTTTGCTCCAAACCTGTCTTCCTCTAATTTCTACCCACGACTCACAGCTTTGTCTGCTGGGCCCTCCAGGGCTAATGAATCTCTTCACAAAGATGCCTCTCTGAGTATGAGGGCAACTGCCCCACCGATTTCTCTCCTCTTTGGATTGAGAAGGCCCTGCTTCTCCAAAAATCCTCATTCACGCCTAAAGGATTTTTTTTCAACTTTGTGACATTTTTAGACCTATTTAGGCCCATTTTTATTACAATGATAAACTATCTTCTGTTTTTCACTGTCTTTATGTTGAGTACCATGCCAGGCATCTCACAAACATCAACTCTCACCTTCTGAAACAAGTCTACAAAGTCGGTCACACACGGAAGTGCTTGCGCTGGGAGAGCGGCCTGGGGCCCCACTCGTGACCTGGCCGTGCCCCCTGCAAGCCTGCCTGGGGGATTGCCCATCACAGCCCATGTGTGATGTGTGCACTTCAATGCAAGAGTAATAATTTTTTTATTTTAGTCATTGTTCAAATACAGTTTTCTCCTTTTTACTCCCAATCCAGCCCCCTCTCCACCCCTCCCCACTTCCCTCCCATTACCACCCTCCCCTTAGTTTTTGACCATGTGTCCTTTAAGTTTGTTCCCGTGAACCCTATAATTTTAGGTTCTATTATATGCTATACCATGTGAAGCACTTTACATGCAAATAAAGAAACCAAAATCTAGAAGTGAAAAACCTCCTAAGTGGCAAAGCTGAGGTTCAAAGTGGTATCTGCTTGTCCCCAAAGCCTGTACCTTTGCTATTAGGTCACATGGCCCCTGTTTCTATTTTTCAGATTCTAGAGGGCAAGAGGATACAAGGATGTGTCAGTGTGGAACCTTACATTCTAGGAGAGTTTGTAAAATTATCAAACAACACGAAAGTGGTGAAAACAGAATACAAAGCCACGGAATATGGCCTGGCTTATGGACATTTTTCTTATGAGTTTTCCAATCACAGAGAAGTTGTGGTAGATTTACAAGGTATGTGAAACTGGGGGTTACTTTTTATATTTAGAATTATTTATTTGTAAACATGGGGTTTTGTCACTAGTTCTACCAGTCACTCTTTAATAGACTATTCAGTGAATATTTAGAATTAATTGATTTGACTCTGTAGCAAATGATGCCTGAGAAAATATCTACAGCATATGTCTCTACGACGTCAAATAATCGCTGTAAAGATTGGGCTCATGTTCTTTTGAGCTAAATTCTGGAGCAAATCTGTGACAGATTTTTAATTTTTGCCTGGTGGACTTGAGTGACTAGGTTTCTTCATGATGAATGTTTCCATGTGTGAAAATCTTCTGGCTCTTTCCGTGCTCCCAACTTCTGCCTTTGTTACAGGTGTGATATTGGGATCATTAGGGAACAAAGAGCTGTGTGTCCTTGAATCTGACTTCTTCTACATCTCCTGTGTTCATATTTTAATTTTCTTTCTGTTTGGTATATTATTTATCAGAATCATTAGCCAACACTCTGCACTTTGTTTAAATGATAAAAGAGGTTACTTCTAATTATTTCTGCTGGTGATTCGATAACATTCTCCCAGATCTTCTCTGTCCCCTTCCACAGCATGTGGCACAACTTCCGGGCGCACTGTGACTTACACTGACTGAGACTGGCTTCCAGTCCGCCTCACTGCACAGGCACTGTGGCTCGACAAGCACGGGCAGCCGACAGCTTGTCCATCGCAGTGTGCCCGGCACCCGAACCAGTGTTTCGTACACTGTGTGCACTCAATAAATGTTTGTTAAGCAAATTAATATACAAATTCATGAATAAGACACTAAAGAAATGTGGGAATTATGAGAAAACCATTCAATATTGTGATTTTTTGTAATTACGTAAGTACATTTTATTGCTCTGTAATTCCTTGAAAATCAGTGGTTTGGGTGTGTCATATATGACGAATTTAATTATCCAATATTCATTTTTTCTTCTTAAAAACAATGATTGGACTTTGTAATACGAAACCCCCCAGCGGAAACGCATTAAATGTAGAACACAGGGTGACGGCGTCGTGAGTGTCGGAGCTCACAGACGGTTTCCCTGAGAGGCTCTGCTGACACGCACGGCGGGCCTTGCCCTCAGGCCTGCTCATTCCCCTCCAGGCTGGGTGACTGGTGACGGAAAGGGGCTCATCTACCTGACAGACCCCCAGATCCACTCTGCTGACCAGAAAGGCGTCGCTGCCAATTTTGGAAGACGGGGCATTTCTTACTTCTTCAACCACCAGCATGCGGCCTGCAATGAGATTTGCCGTCGTCTGTCTCTGACCAGGCCGCCAGCTGAGAGCCCAAACCAGCCTCGGGCGGCGCGGGTCGGGGGCTGACGGCATGGGCCGAGGTCTCTCCTGCAGGTACGTGGGGCTCGCACAGCCTGGTCCAGCGGGGGGGGGCTGGGCCTGGACCGTGACTTGTGAGGGGAGCTGATGAGTGTCAGTCGGTTCCAGGCGCACATTTAATGACAGTGTGAGGCCCATGGAGGCTCCCTGCTTCTGACACAATCACTGTTCCTCCCTCACAGTCCTTTCCCCCAATACGTGTCCCGTGTGTCTGATCCCTTCTTGGGATTGGCTTCTTGAAGAACCCATACTAACCAGTCTCTTAAAGAAATGGGAAAAATTGCCTTATTAACGAAATAAAGGGAAGAAATCATACTATAATATCAAAAGATACAAAAAAATGACTTAAAATTGAAACTCAATTCATGGTTATAAGCTCTTTGCAAACAGGGCATAAAGCAATGACAGAACTGGGAAGTCTCTGTCTTACATTAATGAAATGGACCCGGGCCAGGTGACCATGAAGGGCACACTGTCCACGGGCTGGGGGGACTCACGCTGGCGGCGCTGACGGAGGCCGCTCCCCCTCGGTCGGTCTGTCCCCTGAAAGTGGGATGAGAAACCAACGACAAAACAGCACCTGGGGACAAGCAGGGATTTTCCACGTGAGCTGGGTGTTCGGTGCCATCAGGGAAGTGATGTCTTTAACATTTCTAATTTCCTTCTCTGGTCTTTCATATTTCTTTCTGATAGCAAAGTTGATACTGGGAAATTTTCAAGTGATTTTTTACAAAAATTCCATTACACTTTTCTAAACTGAACTAAATAAATGACTTTGTATCTTAATCTTTTGCCTGTGGAGTTGTGAGAGGATGGTATTTAAAAAGCTAAGTTCCAGGAGTGGAGTTAGACAGGAGGAGACTGGTTTTGTTCCTTGGATGTCAGGAGGTTGGGCACTGTTCTTGTGGGAGGCAAAGCTCGTAGTCAGCCGTCTGCACACAGACTCCTCCACGCACGCAGACTAGGTGTGAAGTGGGGTGGGGGTGGTGAGAGAAAAACAAATCTCTTTGTTACGGTGCATAAGCGGCGCGTGAGCAAGCTTCGCAGCTGTGCCAGGAGCTCGGGCTTTCAGCACATAAAGCCAGTGTGAATAATCCTTTCTCAGAGCAGTGGCTTTGTCAGGTGAACTTGAACCGCGTCGGATCTGCCCATTCCCACCGCACTCGGCCTGTCCCCCCGGGGCCTTCGCCATCTTGGCTGTTGTTTAAAGAGAACGAGCAATCCATCATTGGCCCAGGGAGCCACTTTCTCATGGAAAAGTCAGGCCAGCCTGTGACAGGGCGCTGCCCCAGTGTTCTGCAGATTAAACGGCACTTGGCGACTCACGTGCTCCCAGAAGATTAAGTGGGTTATCTTGTTGTGCGGCCCAGACAAAGGGCTCCCCTAGCAGGCAGGGGAGCCTTACAGAAGCTGGGAAGGTGGAAAACAGAATTTTACAAGAAAACTTACCCAGGATGTTATTTTCCATCTACCTATCTCCCCCACAGACCACGGCACAAAGCAGAACCCACCTGCCTGGGAGGTGCAAGGTCATCCCCAGGTATGGCCGCCCCTTCCTGGTCTGGCTGTTCCTACAGGTGACAGAGACACGGTGATGCACTTCCTGAGGGGCATCAGGGGTCCTGCTGCTACAGTATCAGGTTTCTAACATGGTAACCCGTGGTGTGGTCCACACAGTAATAAAATCCTGCATGAATCTCCTATAGAGATGAGCTTACAGTGCAAGCTGGGGGTGTAGCCTTTAACTTACCAAGCCAAAGCAAATGTTTATCCTATTACAGAAAATAGTATTTTTTAAATAATTGAATCTCTAGGGCATGTGCTGTTTTTAGAACTGATTTTCAAAAGCAAAAAGAAAAATACAAACATAATGTTTAATTTTATATTAAATAAGTACATTAATTAAAATTATTGTAAGAACATATCTTTCTAATTAAATATTTTTTAAAACTTAAAATAATGTAAAAGTTCAGTTTGTGTTTTGCCATTTAGACACTGGGAAAGATACAGACAACAGAGAAAGAATCTCGATTCCTTTCAGGTTCTGGTGGACTTGAGGCAATGCTGTTATCAGAAATGTCTTCATTATTTATATTTGGTGCATATTCTGACACTGCAAACTCTCTCTTAAAGTACAGGCCATTTTTCTAGTGAAGGGGATTTAGAATCAAAGAATGCTCTGTTACCTTTAACTGAATCCTCAAACACGCCCTCTCTCACTGCCTGTGCGTTCCATAAACGTCCCGTCACGGCACAGGGAAGCCGTGGGCCGTGTGCACTTTGCTCATGCAGCACGACGCCAGAGTCAGCCTCCACTTCCTATACAAATCACCAAAACAACGAGGGGCTGTAGAAACACTTTTGTTAGACATTTGACATTGTCTTTTCCAAATAGCAGAAGGACCCACAGCGACTGGCTCTCAGTAGTGAGCCTTCCCTCTGGGCAGGGCACCTGGGGCATCTGCAGTGTCCCCTTGGGCCAGACCGAGGTCCCTGAGCCACCTGCATCAGCGGGCACAGGACCCAGGGACAGGAGCCTCTGGCCAGCTGCACCTTTCCCGGCCTCCAGGGCATATTTGTGTCAGAGCCGGGCCGGCCAGGCCAGCACACAGCCTCTGAGCCTACGGCCTGCCTGCCCAGCACAGAAACACAAGGAAGACTCTGCAATGCATGTAAATGTTCAGAGCGATGGGGCCCAGGGGCCTTTGCAAAAACACAAAGCCATAGATTGTTCCAACAAAGGAAATTTGAAATGCCAAAGTCCTAGGGCTTCCAGACTGAGCTGGGTATTAGAGAGAGCACCACAGCTCTGTGCAACTCACAATCTCCTGCCAGACTGGTCTGCCCATCCCTCCTGCCCCTCACGTCCCAGAGTCCCCATGGTGTGGCCTCTGTGCTGTTTAAGCTGAGCAAGGACACACACGCAGAAAGTACCACCCCCAAGCCTCGCAAGACGACAGGGTCTCATATCAAGGTGGATTAAACTTGGCTTCTCTGAAAGTGCATCGCCAAGTATCAGCTTCACTACGTTCCCCTCTGGGTCACCAGAGGGACACAGACGGGGGGTTGGGGGCAAGTGCACCCTGCACGGGCCAGCAGCCTCTTGTGGTTGGCTGTGGCTACACAGCAGTTGATGGTTAGGATACCGACAGCGCCAACTTGCCCTCAATGTCAGAGGAAGGCCAGTCTTTGTCACCAATAACTTTAAGAATTAAATAAAGTGCAGATCAGTAGGAATTACATGCTTGGTCATATGGTGGACATCAACTGTTTCATTTCCTTGGCAGTTTTTGAAGAGGCACGAAAAATGCTCTGCTCAGAACATCTGCGACCCAGATTGGATCTCAGATACTAAAAGATGAACTGATCCCTGAAGAAAATTAATGTTTTATAATTTTGGAAATCAACCCAGCTATCAAGAAAATACTGTTTTCAGGAAGGACTTCATTGTCTGCTACAGCTGACTCATGCACCTGCTGGAAGAGAAGAGACTGCTAAGGTTTGCATATTTATTGGGGTATTTCCTTTGAAAAAATTATCTATTCCCTTCTGCTGAAAATGGGTTCCCTTTGTCCCTGCAAAATAACCCTAGAGTTATTTTTTCTTTCAACCCTAACCATATGTTTATGAAAAGAAGTAAGGTTCAGAGAGCCACCAGCACCTAAGTCTAAATGCAACAGTGTGACCTTTAAGGAAATACACCCACTTTTTGCGGGGGGGACCTTTTAAAAATCCAGACCAAGTGGCTGCTTCTCAGCTGTAAGGGTCCCTGTTCACAACTTTAAGTAGAACTGACCCTTGGTGTCCCTCTCAGCTGTGGGATGGAGGGAACAAGTGAGAAGACACACCCACCTTTCCACCCTAGGCCCGCCCACAGAGGCTCATGCACAGACACACACACGTGCTCGTGCACACAGACACACGTGCACACACACTCAATCACACACAGAGGCTTCCTTACACTGTCACAAATTTCTGTGCCAGGACCTCAATCGCACAGTAATTGCTTGTTTATGTGTCTGCCTCCCCATTAGCTTGGGAGCACGTGACAGCGGGGACCTAGTTCAGTGTGTCAGCCCCAGGGCCAGCCCGGCCCCCGGCTGTCAGTGAGGCCTTGTTGAATGAGCGAACGGAATCATTAAAACTCACAAGATGAATTGAGAGTGCGGTTTTATGATTGGCCCATTGTGCACCACGCTCGGTGCGATACAGTGTCTCACGTCGCGCCCTGCACCCTGCACGTGTTCCGTGCATGTCTGCGAGCCGCGCGAATGAATGATGGCAGGTGAAAAATCTCTTAATTAGATCCAGAGGGCCCTCTTTATGTGTGGAGCCGAATAAGAAAGGCGTTCTCAGACATTGGAAAGAGCTATGCCGACATCTTTGTTTTTCAAAAGACTCATCTGAATGGTAATGAGTGTGGAAAATGGATTAGCTCCTAGGTGGATAGGTTTTTTGTTTGTTTGTTTGTTTGTTTGTTATTTGTCTTTTTTTGGTCTGGAGAAAAAGTGAAAATGCTCAAGTGCTCCACCATTTACTTACAGCCAGTCCCTTGTTTCCTATGATTTTTATTTTAGTGCTTATTTAATTAACACAATTAAACTACTTTTGGTTTACAGATTAAAATTGGTAAAAACAAACAAAAAAACTGTCCCCAGTGTTGTGTTGATGTTGAGTTTGATCATTATTTTATGTATCTGTCAATGTGACAACTCTGGAGAAAGTGACCCCCTTCGGCCCTTGGCCTCCAGTGACAAGGACAGTTCTTTCCTCCAGCAGGGCTCTCTTCCTGTGCCGCCAGAATGCATCGCAACCTGATTTTTAAAGACGATTGATAAATGTTGCTAACCTGCGTTATATGCACTGTCTCATAATCTGCTTCACATAAAGCACAAACTATTTTAAAAATAAGACACAAAGCAGGCCTATGATTGGTCTTGGCTCAGAAACCAGGTGTTCTAAGTGCAATAAAAAGGCTGTTTTTCAAGTGTCATGAGCTACAGAGTGCGCCTCCTCCTTTGGCCAGACCGGGGGAGCATTACTGAGATTACGGGCACATCCCACAAGTGAATCAGGCCCTTAAGCTTCCTGTAACCAAACACTGCTCTCGCTTCCTGTTTTTTTCTTCATCTCGGAATTATTCTTTTTTTAAAGATTTTATTTATATGTAGAGAGAGGGGAAGGGAGGGAGAGACAGAGGGAGAGAAACATTGATGTGCAAGAAAAACAGTGATTGGTTGCCTCTTGCACACCCAACTGGTGACCTGGACAGCAACCCAGGACTGTGCCCTGACCAGGAATTGAATAGGAGACCTTTTGGTTTGTGGGAACAATGCCCAACTCACTGAGCCACAGCAATCAGGGTTCAGAATCATTCCTTTGTACCACTACCCAAGGGTTAAAAGAAGACTAATAGTTTCACCCTAAAGAATTAGAGAGAGGTGAGGAAGCTGCAGAATAGTCTGAAGCTGGCAAAAGTTAGTTGAAAGTTAGAAGGAAAGAAGCCATTTCCATAACATAACATAACATAACATAACATAACATAACATAACATAACATTCAAGGTGAAGCAGCAAGTGATATAGAAGACCTAGCTAAGGTGATTCATAAAGGCAGCTGAACTAAAGAGGATTTCCAGTGCAGGCAAAACAGTCTTGTATTGGGAGAAGATGCCATCTAGGACCTTTGCAGCCAGAGAGGAGAGGTGCCAGCTTCCCAGCGTCAGGGACAGGCTGGCTCTCCTGTGAGGGGTGAATGCAGCTGTGACTTCAGGCTGAAGCCAATGCTCACTTACCATCTGGAAATCCTGGGGCCCTTAGGAGTGATGCTCTGTCTACCTGCCTGTGCTCTACAAATGGACAGTGAAGCCTGGATGACCACACAGCTGTCTACCACACAGCTCACTGAATGTTTCAAGTCCACTGCTGAGGACTACTGCTCAGAAGAAAAGTTTCCTTTCAAAATACAGCTGCTCTCTGACAAGGCACCTGGTCACCCAAGAGCTCTGATGGACAATGAGATTAATGTTGGTTTCATGCCTGCTTAACATAATATCTATTCGGCAGTCCATGGATAAAGGAGTAATTTTGACTTTCAAGTCTTATTATTTAAGAAAATACATTTTGTAAGGCTGTAGCTGCCACAGATAATGACCCATTTGATAGATCTGGGCAAAGTCCATTGAAAACCTGGGGAAAGAATTCACCATTCCAGATGTCATTAAGAACACTTATGATTTGTGTTAAGAGGTCAACATAGCAACCATTTTTTAAATTTATTGGTTTTAGAGAGAGAGAGGAAGACAGAAAAACATTGCCACATTGCTCCATCCATTTACACATTCATTGGTTGACTCGTGCATGCACCCTGAGCAGGGATCGAACCCACCACCTTGGTGTATCAGGATGATGCTCCAACCAACTGACCTACCCAGCCAGGGCCAACATAGCAACTTAACAGGAGTTTGGGTGAAGGTGATTCCAACCCTCATGAATGACTTTGAGGGGTTCAAGACTTCAGTAAGGAAGTAACTGCAGCAAGAGAACCAGAATTAGAAGTGGAGCCTAAAGATGAGACTGAATCACTACAATCTCAGGATAAAGCTTGAATGGATGAGGAGTTGCTTGCGGATGAGCCAATGGCTTCTTGAGATGGAATCTACTTATTGTGAAGATGCTGTGAAACTTGTTGAAATGACAACAAAGGATTTAGAATATTCCCCAAACTTAGTTGATGAAACAGCTGTTGGGTTTGAGAGGACCGACTCCAATTCTGAAAGGAGCCCAGCTGTGGGTAAAATGCTATCAAACAGCATCCCCCACTATAGGAGAATCTTTCTGAGAGTGAGAGTCAACCAACAGAGCAAAGGTCTTTGTTGTTCTATTTAAGAAACTGCCACGTCCATCCCAGCTGCCAGCAGCCACCCTCATCATTGAGCAGCCACCAACATCAAGGCCGATCCTCCACCAGCAAAAAGATGACAATTCACAGAAGGCACAGAGGACGATCAGCATTTTTAGCAATAAAGTATTTTTAAATTAAATCACATACATTGTATTTTAGACATAGTGCTATTGTACATTGAATAGACTGTAGTATAGTATAAACAACTTTTATATGCTCTGGGAAATAAAAAATTCATGTGACTTGCTTTATTGTCGTATTTGCTGTATTGCAGGGGTCTAGAAGTGAACCCAGAGCACCTCTGAGTTGTGCCTGTATGGAGTCAGTGTGTTGTGCCTCCGAAACTCATACAATGTTATATATCAATTATACATCAATAAAGAAGAGTTCAGAACCACTAAGTAACTTATTCAGATTTCCACAGAGAGATGCTATTTTTTTCCTCTCCACACGATTTTTTTTTAAGATTTTATTCATTTATTTCTAGAGAGGGAAGGAAGGGAGATAGAGAGAGAGAGAGAAACATCAATGTGCGTTTGCTGGGGGTCATGGCCTGCAACCCAGACATGTACCCTGACTGGGAATCGAACCTGCGACACTTTGGTTCACAGCCTGAGCTCAATCCACTGAGCTACACCAGCCAGGGCTCCACACGGTTTTTAATCAAACCATCAACTACCCTATGGTACAGGCAACAGTGTCTTCAGTCAAATACTGACTTTTTTGAGAAGTAAAACTTTTCTCAACTTGCCAGAAGGCTGGGACTCCTGTTCTGTTCCACAGGGTTCAGTGACCCAGTGGTGCAGCCAATAGCCTTCGAGAAAAGACATCTCTCTGGCCGATGAGAGGGGCACCCTGCTCCCAGGGGCCAGCATGACTCCCAACCACCATGCCATGCTGGATGCCCTGCCAGCCGCCACACTCCACGACCTCAGTGCTCCTTGGGCAAGCCAGGCGTCCTGTTAACAGGAGCTGAAGTGCAAACAGCCGCTTTGCCCCGGCTCCACCCCCTTGGCTAGGGTCCCGCTTCTCTGCTCAGGGCACAGATGCAGCTTTGAGCCTATGCGACCAGGCAGCTATTAGCAGCCAACCCAGGGAGGGAAACTAATGAAGGGAGCAAGTAATAAAAGGCAGCTCAGGACAGCCGGACTAACTTGCTCCGAGCAGTAATTAACTTTTTTTTCTTTTTTTCTTTTTTTTTGGCTCACGAAGGTAAATATGCCATCGGCACTGGTCCAGTCTAACTCTTCTTTATTAAAAAGGATAGAGCAGAGCTATTCATGGGGAGCTGAGACTTAATCTGTTTTCCCCGCTAAGAAGGACAATTTTAAATTACTTGTGTGATGTGTAGATGGACTGGGGATGCCCAGATCAGAGACTCCTTACGGTGGAGGGAGATGAGGGGATGGGAGTCTCTGCATCACAGAAAGAGTCATCGTGTGCCTCAAAGCAGCTTAAAATGTTTTTTAAAGGTTTTAAAAATCATTTTTGAAAGTTTGCTTTTCTCCCCCACCTAGAATTATGAGCTTTTGTTCAGCACGGTGCTGAACAAAAAACGAGACCAGATTCAAACACCCAGCGTGTCTCAGATGTCAGTGTGACTGCTGTCCCGGGCAAGGGACAGCCGGCTGCTTCCTCCAGCCTCCAGCTCCCATTTTTACTTTATTTTAATCCTCAGCCAAGGACACATCCATTGATCTTAGAGTGGGAAGAAGGGAGAGAGGGAAGTAAAAAGAGAGACGTCGATCAGTTGTCTCCTGTACCGTGCTCCAACCCGGATGGAACCCACAACCTAGACATGAGCCCTGACCGGCAATCGAACCTGCAGCCTTTTGGTGCACAGGACAATGTCCCAACCAACTGAGCCACCTGGCCAGTGCCCAGCTTCCATTTTCAAAGACACAGTTATAAAAGGCAACTAAATGCTTGGTTTTTCCATCTATTTTTGACATAGAGAAAAATGGGCACATGGACACTTCATGCTTTAAAAATAACACCTGTTGCTACATAAAATAAGCAAGGCCCCCAAATTCACAGCAACAGAAGGCTGGCAGTGCCCAGGGTTTGGGAGGGGAAGGGGTGGTTGTTTCAGGGGTGTGGAGTCCCAGTTTTTCCAGTGAAAAGTTCTGGAGACTGGCTGCCCAGTGCTTGGGTGCACTTAGCACTACTGAACTGTACACTCAAAAACGATTACAATGATTTCCTTAGGAATCACTCTTAGGATGGCTGCAGACTTCAAGGCATTAAAGTTTTGTTACATAGCTAGTGAATACAAATAAAAAGGGTGTTTATAACAGAATCTTCATACTTCTCAGAGGTGAAGCACCAAGTTTCAGTTAGTTGTAAGACTTTTTCTGCTACAAATAAGTTATGTGGTCCTCAGATAAAGACAGACCCATATTAATTTGAGCGCAGTCTTATATACTGACAATCATCAAATCTTAGTGGCTTTTACAGTATTTTTCAGACTATAAGATGTACCCCCCAAGTTTGGGAGGAAAGGGGGGTGTGTCTTATAGTCCGAATGTAGCTTTACATTTACATTGGTGAAATACTATGTTATTTGTGTTATTAAATATTTTACCACATTTTTTGCTTGAAAAAAATTTGTTTTCCTATTTTCCTCCTCTAAAACCTTATGGTCCAGAAAATACAGTAACTCCCAAGGTTTTCTCCCTCAGGCAGCATCCACTGGGTGTCTCACGGGACCACTGCTCTTCACGTGGCCACTCAGAAACCCAAGCAGCTTTGATACTGTGGCTGCCAGGGGCCTGTGGAGGACCCGTGGGTGGGAACCTCAGATGCCGGCAGAGAGCGGGGCACGATCCACAATAGGCAGTGCAATGAAACTAAGTGACAGGCTTTGAGCAGGAGTGGCAGAGACGTGTAGGAACAATGTGAAGCATGTCTGCTAGAACACGCATGTGGGTTGCCTCGGTTATGCGGGGGCACCATCAGCACAAGGCCTGTCCTGCTCCCACGGCAATGCCAGGTGGGAGGACAGCTGCCC